CCAGTTATATATGCATAAATAAATAAAACTTAAAGAAAAAGATTATCTTAGCTATATCTTAGATGAAATCCAAGAATATAATCTTAAAGAACAGAAACACCCTTGATCCAGAAACTTACAGATCCAGGGACAAGACAGATGAGCCATTCAGCCACACCCAAGTTCTGCGTTCTGCACTGTAGGTGACGCCAATCCAGTAAAAGTATTTGTTAAACTTCATAAAATTCTGTTTAGAAAGTGAAACTAGTTAATTTAATTTATATTTAATCTGGATAAAAAATTAAAAATTAGTGTCCATCATCAGATCAGATTCAGCCTTTCCAGCAGAAACACTGATATACACTGATATATATACACACACACATACACATACACACACACATACATACATATATTTTAACATTTGCTTCAGGAGATAATCACACATCTTCCATGTCCCCACATATCAGGCCCATTCACTTCTGGAAAATTATTATAAAATCTCACATCTAGACAGAATTAAAAAATACATATAAATGGAGCTAGAATTCCATGAAACACTTCCTTTGCAGGGCATTCAAATTCTTTCTACATTTACATCTTAAGGGATGAATTTTGTGAGTATAATCTTCATAACTTATATTCAGCCCAGATTTTGCATGTAACTAGAGATACATTTCACTTTTTCTTAAAATTGGATAGTTCTTACTCAACTGGGTAGAATAGATAGTTATGATGATACATTTCACATTCATTCTACATCCAAAATGATGGCAAAATATTGAGAATTACATAAATAAATTACAAAATCAAGCAAAGGGAAAAAAGTACAAATATTTAATTCCTTTTTAAATAAACCTATTGTATCTTTTTTTTATTCTTTCTAAAATATCTCTTGAATTTGATTTGACATTACTTTAAATTTTATTCTACTGCTATAACTCATTGACAAATGTCATCAGATCATATAATACTTGTTTTAAGTTATATTCTATTAGTAGCAGATCATTAGTTCAAAAATTAATGTTAGTATAGCCTGATTAAAGACTGGAATCAGAAGATTAAGATTACTGAGATGGCACATTTTCTTAGTTTTGAAATCATTTAATAAACCAGAATTAAATTCATACCAATTCATTTCCATTGTGCATCTGAAGTAGAGTAGAATTATGAGATTCACAGAAATTCCTACTTTCCTTCCATGTTTTGAATTCATTGGAAAAGAAGTAACAGTTGCATTGATATCCGACCCATCTTTCTGGGCAAGAACTATTCACATAACCTATAGGGAAATGACACATAAATGTTGTCTCTGGATATTGTACTTCAGTACTCTTTACTCATTCAAAATTATCTGTATACTTTTAATTTTTCTATAAATTTGAAAATCTGTGCAAAAATTTGAATATCTAGATAAAATCTTTTTTCCTTCAATTTACTGTTTTCTCTATTTTGGAGTAACTAAATGTAGGAATAAATTGGGTCCTAGAAATATATAAAGGAAGAAAATATTTTAGCACTATCTTCAGTGACAGGCATCATAACATATGGTAGGCACCAAATTTTTGCAAAATGAGTGGTTCTAATGAGGGTCACTGTGGGTATGGAATGAAAAGATAAAAATCAAATTTTCAGACAGAACATGAAAAAATTCTGAGGATCTAGTTCTCAATACTGCAACTGTAGTCAGCAATGCTATATTATGTTGCTATGTTTTGCAAAAAAAAAAAAAAAAGGATTAGATCTTAATGTTCTCAACAAAGATACATGGTAATTATGAGATGCAATAGAGATGTTTGTTAGCTATACTAGGCTGTCATCACATTACAATAAGTTTATCAAATTAAAACTTTCTGAATCTTAAACTTACACAATGTTCTTGTCAGTTGTATTCCATGAGCTAGAAAAAAAAATGAAAGCAAAGAGGGTAAATATGAAGTGAGTTATGATCACAGAAGATGTTGAGACGATTTGGAGACTATTTGGATAAAGTACATTGAAAATTGTTCTTGTTTCTTACTCACTGGATACAATTTAGATATGCTGAAAGCTATGTATTTAATTATGAGTCATGGAAGATACAGAAATAAAGGTAAAGAGATATAAATTCATGGCTTATAAGCAAACACAGTCAATTAATTCAGATTAATTACTACAACTTAATTTTTTACTTAGATTTGAACACTCAAGTAGGAAAACTGTCATTTCAAGTTAATGTTTTCCTTAACATATAAACATATGAATGATGCATATTCAATAAATCTTACTAACTCTTATACTGGAGATAAAAATGAGCTTATTTTGCAGTTAGTGCATCAGTTTGTGTAATTAGACTACAACATTCATCATGAAGATAACAGAAAACTGCACCTTGAATTCTCTACATACCCTAAGGTTTACAAAAATGAAACAAACCTTTCTGGATTTTGGTGATAGTTTCTGGAAGGATTACTGTAATAAATGATAGAAACTATTAGACACAAGGTTGTGAAAAAATAAAGGACTAGATGTCAGTAAATGAAATATTTATTATTAGGTATTTTCATCTAAATTTTCAGTTTCATGTAGGCTTATTTAGAAAAACTTACTGTTTTTCAATACAATTCCCAAAGTAGCCATCAACAAAAGGCACGTTACTCCTAAGATCCCAGAAATCCACCTCCATATGGTGGTCTGAAGAGCTGTAGAGAAAGAGGGATAGTGACTTGAAGGTAGACACAGAAGTTCTTAAAAGTAGAAACTAAAAAGAGAGAATCCAAAAAGTTCTTTGACTTGGTAACTTGATCCCCTTGAAAATGCAATATTGGATAACAAAGATGATATGCTGAATTTATTCTGTGAGATTATCTATATTTTCTCCTCTTCACCAGATCCACCTTAATGATGTACACTGACTAGTATTTTGTAGGGATCATAGAAATATGGAGATGTGCCGTAGGAGGAGTCAATAGGCACGATGGATTGAGACATGGGCATTAACTTTTATTTTCTAAGGGCAAAATCACAAGTCTTGATTAACACTACGCAGATGAGAAACATTGGAATGTTTTAATAATGTTATTCAGACATCAAAGCTTGTAGGTATTCAGCTCAAAAGTAAAATGAGTTTGCCTTGTCCCAGAGTCATTCTCATAACACATGCATCATTGTTAAATTTTTCCTGGTGTGTGCCTTTTTCATAATCTCATTGCAGTTCCTGTCAGAGATATCAGGTGGCTTCTAATTCTCTAGAAGTCAAATGGGAAGAAAAAGCATAGGGTACTCTGGATTTGATGTGATGAGAGGTTCCTGCATTTATTTTACATAGTTAGAGTGATGGTCTATAAGCAAACATTGGCTGTAAGAGATTACATTTTCTCATACCCAAAATTACTTTTTTACAGGAATTTCCCCTAAAACAAAACAATATTAGAAGATCCATCATTAACACAAGTACACTCTCTAAGAATGTTGACATTATCTGTCTAATTTGTATAACTTAATTCATCTGAGCAGGTAGAGTGAGTTTCCTGTATTGTGTATTTTGCATGTCAAAATGGAATTGTAAATTTTTATAAACTTGTAAGCACTAATATTAATATTTAAAATTCCCTACTTATTTCTATGCTCAAATTGTGTTGATCATAATTTAACATGATTCATCATTCCCTTAAGTAGTTAGTGCTGTCTCAGTCAGAAGCCAACCTTTAAAAAACTGCTGCAAAACTTTCACAATATATCCTCTATTTTCCACAATGAAGAAACATAAAAGTAAATGGAAAAATATTCCTATATATGAAACTGAAAAATCTCACCTGTTTCCCAACCCTGCCCTGAATTTAGCAATATCCATGATATGTTTTCTGGGTGGTTTAATTTTCTAATTTTGTAGAAGAGACTGCTCGTACCTGCCATGAGGAGGGTGCTCCGAGTCGATATCGGGAAGGTTCGCGTGTTCCAGATGTTCGGGTCTGATCTTGGACTTAGCTGGAGAATTAAGCTTCTGAAAATTGTGTAAGAAGAAAGGTGAAAGAAAAGGGAAATTTTGTATTGAAGCAATGTTCTTGAATTACCTCTCTGATTGGTAAGAACGGATGGGCAGTGAGAACAAGAAGCAGCAAAATCACTAGCTTCTAAATGTTCCGGGACCACAATACAGGAAACTCACTCTACCTTCTCAGCGCCTCCCTTTGTCATTCATAAAAGAAGGTCAGAGGAAGGTGTTTTATTTGATTTTTTGGCAAATCTAAGTGCATGTGCTCAGTATAATGAAATTCCACAAATAAAATGTCCCTCTTTTAATATTAAGAAGCATTCATTATATACTTTGTGCTAAACAATTACATATTAATTCTGGCTTATTATTTTTGAGACTGACTTAATGATGAAGACACATAATTATACTCACTGTGCCAAAGAGAAAACTAAAGGGTGATTGGATTACAAATTGTCAAGGTCACTTACATTTAAAAACAGGCTGTACATCTCCACAGACATGCGATATATCCATTTCTTTGTGTCTGTATGTTGTGTGGGTTTTCATTTTCTTGAACCCAAGTCATCAGGATGTCAGTAAATGAAGCATTTATTATTAGATATTTACATCAAAATTTTCCCTGTCTCATTCTGTGCTTCTGTCCCCTGTCTTCTTAATTCAGCTAGCAAAGGCAGGGGTCAAAAAATTAGAACTAAAGTATAGCCACATTACTGTTCCATGTAAACACACACACACACATACACACACTCTAGAATTACTTCAGCTGGTTTGAGCTCACAGTACTCAGTTCTTCATACACATTTTGCAATTTATGTCGCTAGAACAAATTCATATAAATTCTCATGTATTCTGCTTATTTTCCTCCTTCTTTTAGGAGGCATCTGAATCTCCTTTCCATCTGATAGAACCTGAGGAGGCTGGATACAAATTGCAGAGGCCAATGGCTTAGAAACAAAGATTGCCGGAACTGAGTTTGCCCAATTTGGACATAGAGGTTGTATTCATTTTACTGAAAATCAAGTGGATAATCATGATTATCGCAAGGAAATTTTGAGACATTAAACTTCTAGCAGGATGAACATTGGAAATTTGTGGAAACCTTTCAATGTTTTTGTGTGTTTGTGTGTTTGTGTGTGTGTGTTTCTATTTGCTTTGTTTTTACTTGAGCAGGTTTTTATAAATAAGTCTATTACTCACTGGCATATTTTGGTTCACTTTGAAGCACAATGAATTTGAAAGTGTATTTCTCATGTACCAGTGTAATCAATTAGGAATTATTTAGTGGGGTACTCCCTGGTGGTGCAAGAGGTTTGAGATGATTTTGATCCCTAGCCAGAGAGGTGACCACCTGGCACAGAAGACCTCCCCTGACCCACCTACCGCTCCCCTCAACAGTGCATTTAAGTCAATCCACCTGTTCTGTTTCCCACTCTGTCTCTGGTGAATCCTCTCAACCCTCTGGCTCATGCACCAGTTCTTATATGCATAAATAAACACATCTCATAAAAAGAGAAAACACAAGCAATCATTTGGGGGTGTGGTTGAGAAGTCTTTGAGTGTAGGTATCAGCAACAAATAGTTTTCAAGATGAATGATTAAACCTCAGTCTACACTGAGGTTTAATTCAAAATATTTATTACATTGATCACTTCTGAATTTACCTTCACTGATGTACAAACAATATTTTGGTGATGAATATAACAGGATGTGACTTTAGTGAAATAAAGGGAAATGAGCACAGCTAGTGCTAGCAACGAGGAGAAAACATTCTCTTCTGCTCTCCTTATTTCTTTCACTTTTTATTTTGAAATGAATATAGCTTGACAGCATGTAGCAACAATACAGCATAGGGAGCTGAACTGACTTCTGATATGTGACCCATGATCTTTGAGATTGTACTATGGAGTTAGGATACTGCACTGTTGCTTTAACAGTTATGTAATAATTTTGCAGTTTCAATTTTAATGGACAGTCTCAGATTCTATTAGGAGTATTCACCAGAGAAATAACAGTTTCCTTTTTTTTTAAATATTTATTTATTTATGACTAAAATACTGGGGTACAGGCCGGAGATGTGGTGGGTAAGGGGATTCACCAGAGACAGAGTGGGGAACAGAACAGGTAGAGTGATGAAGGACACTGCTGAGGGGAGCAGTGTATAGGTCAGGAGAGGTCTGCCGAGCCATGTGGATGGAATCGACCTCATGCTGTTCACAGCTTTATAATATGGTGCTTTAACCTGTTGTGCCACCAGAGCGAGCCCTCCTTTTTTTTTTTTTTTTTTAATTAAGTTAAATGCACCAAGACAACTACCCTTCAAGAGCACTAAACAGACGGATACTAAAACCAAAGTGTCAATTTGGGAAAAGCTCATTCAGACTTCAATGAGCAATAGAAAGCAATGTGACAGTTATGGATATGCCTAGCTCTTCCTTGGCCCTTGCCATACCTCATAGCCATTCTAGAAAGTTATAGTCTACACTTAAACATTATTCTTCTTAAATATTTATTTACTTATGCACTTATATTCTACACAGAAAATGAAGCCTCCAAATAATGGTGACCTAATCGGAAACACATGTTTTGGATAAAACTGGCATTTCCCAATTATGTCTGATAGGGCAAGTTTTATAAAATCAGCAAGGAAATATACAATGTTACAGAATGTCTTAATTTTAGCCTTTAGTGCACATCTCTTCTCACTAGCAGGAACATAATATGCACTGAAGTGAGATCCTCATATAGGAGCTGCAAAGAGCTTGCTGGCTGCACTGTGGCTTCTCAACCCTTTGTAGATGGAAATATCGTCTGTGGTGAGAGTTGTGGGCCTCTGGGTTCTCACTCTGAACTGAAAGGCCTAAGGTGGCAAGTTGGTCATTTCTTGATGTCAATAGCTTGGTTTTTATTACTAAGTATCACTGAAATAGCACTGAGCTTCTCCAGTGATCTTTAGGCAAAAACATTACACTGTAAAGCTCTATGGTGAGTATCTGTTGATAAAATTTAGTCATTAAGAAAAGACCAAGAAATTAAAAGTTTGCATCAGTCCCCTAACAGAATGCTATACAGATGAGTGAAAATGTCAGTCTGGAGAATTAGCCTTCTAACTTTTGTATTAATTCTCATTCAGTGAAGGCCAGACAATTTACATTTCCCAAACTGTCAGCAGATAGGTAGATAGGTAGATGATTGATAGACATAGACAGACATGCAGATAGATAGATAGCAGACAAATATATAAAGTAGGATAAAATATGATAATCTTTAACAATTTTGACAGTAATCTGAGTAAAGGGAGTACATGACGATTAGTCTCAAAGTCTCTCTTGTACTCCTCCATCTCTGTGTGTTCTGTGTCTTTTCCTCCCCTCCAGGAATATAACCCACCTTTCACACCTGACCCACCAATTCTGGAATCCAACTTCCCCATATTTGATCCAACAAAAGACACTTTTCTTGTTTTTTTTTTTTTTTCTCTGAAAGTAGAAGTACTTGCTTCAGGATCATTGCCATCTTTTACATGAAAATATTGATTTCTGAGATGTCTCCATAAATAGAATAACACAACTTTTCCATCTTGACTAAGATTCTGTTATACTCTGATAAGTCTTCCTCATTTTTTTGCATTGTCTACTTTTTTTGATTACTAATGTTAATTCTCCCTGTAGTTGGTGAGCCCTGTAAAAGTAGACACATCTTTTTGATTTCCACAACTGTGCATCCCCAGTACTAAAGTTTAGTGTGGGATCTGTGGCAGAATGAGCCCCTGTTGTTAAGTGAAATAAATATGTTCATTTTTACTATTCCAGTGGAGGTTATGCATTTTCAAATTTCTGTATCTTGTGTGGTTGTCCAGGTTCAAATATCTCCTGGCTTGTTGGAATCTTATCTAATAATTAGCTTGACTTTTGAAATACATAATTGTTCTCTAAATTCACTTCATCTGACAATTTTATCTTCTTACCATTACTACTTTTTCTTCCCAAGATGATCACAAAGAGATTAAAGAAAGCTGATATTGAATAGAGCACATCATCAGTATGCAATTATAGTGACATGGTTTATTTTACAATTACTAGGAGATTTGAACCTCTTAGAATTACTTAACATCTCTAATCCATGATGGTGGGCATTATTAATACTCTGCCAGTAATATTCCTTTACATTCCTTATCTTCATTGTGTTATTTCCTGTGTTACCAATATGGTATCCGTTGTATTTTTACTTATGTGATTAATCAAAATTAAAGAAAATGCATGGACTTCAATTTATAATACATCAATTCTTAGCTAAGTAAATAGTTCACATAGTTGAAGTCATCACAATGGAAAATCATAGGTGTTCACTTTCTTTTCCCTCTCATGTACACATCTGATGTTATTAGATTGTTTTCTTGCAGGTACAATAGTCATTGTTTTGACAATACTCAACAGTTATATGGCCATATTTTATATGTTTGCATTTATTATCAACATTCATATGCCCTAAAATTTGAATGGTAGGAGAGAAAAATTTCCATGAAATCCTGATTTTACTACCTATGACATTTGAATTTTTAGATTCTATAATATATTGATGGATGATAAATAGCAGGTATGTCTCTTTTGGAGTTCTTCAACTATGCAAATCATAAGTATATGTCATCCAAAGTTTGTTATGAAATCTCAACTTGGTTGTATCAATATCTTCAATTGTGATAATAATCTCTGTGACTTCAAAAATTTTCAAGAGTATTTCCTACTTTGAGTGGGTTTTACATATTTGTCTGTATACAGTATTGTTAAATAAACACTGTATACTGTTTTTATATTACAACAAAGTTATTCTAATCTTCAATAGCAATTGATTCTCTCCTGAAAATGTTTGTATTCTCCTTCAAGAGAACAAACCAGAATCCTCATACTTTATAAATGTAATGATTATTACATATTCTGGTAGATCCATTCTATTTGGAATGGAAACATAAGCATTTGTTTAATATATTAAATGCAAATTATAAAATAAAGTTTAAGAAAATGTTAAGACTGTGCTAGGTAAGGTCAGAAGATTCTTCCTCAATAATATAGAAACCACATAAATAAAATATAATAATCAACAATTTAAGGAATTGGAATAAAGTCAACTTAGGCAGTAGGAAAAAACCACATCTATCCATTTAATATAACAAAATCTATTTGATTAATTCCATTCATTCTGGGCCTCCCTGGTGGTACAAGAGGTTAAGTCTCAGCACTATGAAGCTATCTGCAGTACAAGTGTGATCCCTGGCCAAGAAACTAAGGAACATGGCTCAGCAGACCTCTCCTGTCTCACCCACTGCTCCCCTCAGCAGTGTATTTCAGTAGATACATTTGATTTGCTTCCTGGTGAATCCTCTCACCACCTTATACCTTTGGCCTGTACCCCAGTTCTACACACACACACACATACACACAATTAAAAATAATCTAACCATCCCACATATTAATGTAAAATATTCGAAGAATACAAATTAGAAGCAGTTAAAATATAAAGTGAAATTCCAATTCATAGGAAAATAATAAAATTTCCCATGTTTAGATATTCTACTAAAATGATGGTATGTAGTTACACTTTGAACTCATCTGGTCAGTAGACAAATGAAGAAAACAAGAAAAATAATACTCAAGTCTTGGTAGGTATAAAAAATAATATGTCTGTACACTTTGTAAGATTTTTCCACTCCAAATATGGCATCATATACACTGATGTTTTCTAGTTACAAAAAACTAAATCATATAATTCAATAAAAATATTTGTCACTGATTCCAATGACAAGCCAATGTAATGTATGGAAATTACTGTTTTACAAGTTTAATATAGTAAAAATGAAAACAATGAGCAACTATAAACCAGAGACATTTTATGGGGGTGAAGAGGGGGATGGGATCAGAACCAGGGTGGGAAGAGTACATGGGACTGTGGTGATGGCACATGGGTGAACTGGTGGTGGAAAGCCCATGGGGATTACAACTGAGATGGAAAAATACACAAATGAAGAATGATGTAAAAAATTAAAAATAGAAAAGAGAAAATAAAAAACTCAATCTATTTAAAAAAGAAAAGAAATCTACTGTTTCATGTGGAAGGCACCTTAATCTTTCTTCAAAGGTTTATTTTCTATACTTTGTAAAGGATAAATATTTAATGTGAGTGTACATGGTCATAGATAATCTTGTATATTTTTCATGTAATTTAAAAAAATATATATAGAAAGCCCACATACATTCACACCTGAAATCTGATAGATATTTTCTTTTTGGTTTTTGAAGTCTTTGTCTTCTCTGTGGCTGAGATGGATGTTGAAATCGCACATTAGAATAAATTACTTCACTCATTTCTGGAAGGTAAGAAGATGATCAGATGAATTGAAGGGATTTATTTTCAATGAGTGTAAACTGTGAACTAGTTTGCAAAACTGGTGTTGAATAAAATAGTATTGGGGATGATTCAGAGAGCTAGCCATTTGGATGTATCCCAGACATGAGTTTACTTAGGAAATAAAATAATGTGATTGTGATTTTTTTTCTAGTTAGTTTATAAGTTGCTATGACATGCCATGTCGGAATCTTAAAGTTGTCCATTCACAATGATTTTAATATAAAATCTTATATTAAATTATGAAGCTTCTATTATTAATGTGATAGAATTGCAACAGACGGAGCTTCTGTGCTGACACCCAGGGAGTCAGTTTGTGCAGCCTGCATCCAGCTCCCTCCTTGCCTCTCCTGTCTCCCCTTTACTTCTACCTTCTCTGTCTCCCCTTTACTTCTACCTTCCCCCACTTTCCCACAATTCCTTGTACCCATCTTCTTTTTCAATAAAACTTATTTTTCTGCTCTGCACATTTTACTCAAATTCTCTTAAATATATTTTTTCCTTCTATTTTTTCTCACACACAAACACAAATACACACACATAAATATACATGTATGTATAAATATGTTAGTTTTCTCATTTTATAAATTCAATGTTACTACATTTATTAAACCTCATGGATATTTCAATAAAAATGTTTGTTCCAGGTTTTCTTCTTCTTTTTTTTTTGTCATTCTATCAAATGTCTTCTGTTACTGCTATTCATGTTTCCCCACTGTTTAATGAATTCCTTGAGATGTTTTCCTAATCTCTGTTATGCCATAATTGCTTGCTTGATATCTTTATGCAGTATGAAAAAGTTAAAATTACCTTCAAATCTTACATTATTATCTAAAATAATGTCTAACTCACTGAAATAAAGTCTATTTCATGATAACATTTTATACAATTTCAGAGAAATCAATGTGAGATTCTTTCTGTTCTCTTTAAGATGACAATAGAACCCAGTACCTATAATCAAAGCACACATCTGTGGAAATGTGGGCATAAATCATGTATTATGATTTAGTCCTGTTGAATTTTGTATTTATTCACTTACATCCTTTAAATCCATATTTCATACAAATTAAAAATGCCAAAGTGTCACAAATTGGCATTTCAAATAATAAAATTACAATTATGATAAAATTATTGGAATAAATGATATTTCAAAATAGCTTTTAAGGTGACTCAAACACATCTGATTCCATTCTTAGCATCGTCTCTCTTTTAACCGATCTATTCTCATATTTTTTTCTCTTCTCCTTGCCTACTCTGCAAACCATTTTAATTCTACTTTCTTCTAAAAGACACACAATGATACACAGATTGTCAATATAAATTGCTCAAAGTTCCAATATACATAGGCATTTTTTTTCAGAAAAATAATGTATATGCCTGCACATGAAAAATAATCTGTCTTTGAATATATACCTTATTTCTTTCCATTTCATTTCCCTCATAATTCAGAAAAACTCATGTTGAGAAATAGAATGAATATCTTGGAAATATAAATGCTTGATTTTTAGAATACGTCTGATTTTTTGAAGATTGCACGTATATGTCCTAGGAAGAAGCAGATGTTAACAGTTATAAAAAGTTGCAATTAAAAAAATCTGAGAGTCTATGGTATACAGTCAAAGCCCAGTGAAAAATGTAAGGAAAAAAATTCACCGCCTAATAATGCCTTTGTCGCTGGATGGAGCGAGGAAGTTTGCTGCAAAGTTGCGTCAAGTTCAGTTTTCCTTGGATTAAGGTCCAATTTACAATTTAAAACATGCACGTGTACGCACTGTATATAAAGTTCACGTTTAAGAAAATAAGGCAAGAGTAATTAATGATCACCAGACACCATCCTGTTCTGCCCTCGCCAGCACGTGGAGGCTGCGCCTGACTCCCGCCGCCTCCAGGGGGCGCCATTAGCTCGCCACCGCGCAGTCTCTCAGGGCCCATTAAACTGGCCTCCAGGTCAAACTCATACTCCACCCCGCAATCCAAGTGCCTGACTTTGGTGGACGAGAACGAGTCAAAGTTATCCTGAGAGCTCGTCCGGGACTCAGAGGTGCTTTCTGCAGGTTCTATCTCCATCTCCCCAAGGTTCACAGGGTGTATTTCTTGCAGGTCACAGCCTTCTTAAATTTGTTGGGGGTCTTGGGGTGAATACCGGGCTGTCGAAGGTGCCTCAGGACCTCCTTAGCGTAGCGGTCGTAGGCAATGGTGTTCTTCCAGCAGTTTTGTTTCTGTCTCCTCCTCAGGACGCTTTCCTCTGTCTCCAAATCATCTGGTGCCCTAGACGCAGACTCCTTCGCATCAGAACTCCCTGAGGATGATTTTACTCTTCCGAAGTCATTTATGAGGAATTTTCTTTTCTATCTTGCAATTTCTTTGTTAACTCTGGTTCTCATTTCATCTTCTTCAACTTCACTGGCCTAGTCTGAGCATCTGGAACCAGTTTAGGGCCTTCAGGAGTGGTAAAGCTGTCGGGGCTGCTGTCGGTGCCAGGCGTCCTGGCGGGGTCCTCCGCCTCTTGTGGCCGCTGTCTACTCTGCGCTTCAGTGCGAGGCTCCATCTCGTGGGACCGGTGGGTCACTTCTCATTAGTGGGCTGTCCATCAATTCACAAGAGTCATGCATTTTGGTCACATCACAGAAAGATGCCAACAGACCAATAAAAACTAATCTATGAGCTCTTACATTCATATAAGATATTATTTTTAAAAAATATTCTTAGAACAAAGTTATCTTTTTTATTTAACTTTTTTTTTTTTTCACCATTGATTCAACTTAGATTAAGTCAATTTAGTCTTTAACAGTTTTCCCAATAATTAGCTAATTCATATAGGTCATTTCTCCATAATTTGTAGAAGAATAATCATATTTAAAGCTATTAAGTAAATATATTCAGATGCAAAATAGTATGTGGAAAAAACTAAAAAGCCCATTTATTATTTGTTTATTTATTTATTAGATAAAAAAAGACCTTTTTTGCCAATGGATTTCAAAGTCTACTCACATACTAAATAGCTTATTATTAGAGTTAAGTTTATCCTTGATTCCCTCATATATTAAGGAATGTTATGTCATGTGAAAATACATTTTTCCATATTAGATTTTTCAGTCTTGTGACATTAATTAAGCAACAATTTAATAAGGTGTCTACATAATTTTCATACAGGTATGCATGCAGAACAAGGGTACAGGCCAGTGGTACAGGAGATGAGAGGATTCACCAGAGACAGTGGGGAGCAGAACAGGCTGACTGACTGAAAACACAGCAGGGGAGACAGAAGACTTCTGCTGTGACATGTGTGTCAGTTCCCTGGCCCTGGATGGAAGT